TTGGAGAACATGCATGAAGTTTTCTAGCATAACTCAATTAAAACATAAAACGCACACAACGTTTTACAAAGAAAAATAGCAACTTAAAACATGACAGTTACCAGAACATGGAGTTAAGAAATTGAAAAATAAACTAGGAAAGAAAAAAACTGCAAGCACATAACTGTTAAAACTAACTTAATAGACTTGTTCTCAACACACTTAAGGCTTTATACAACTGCCTCCTATATTGGGCCCCTTTAGATCACAAACTTTGCGAAGTTCTTATTTGACAAGCTTGATGATTCAAGTTACAATTATAGGCTCATTTTTGCATTCATCTTCTTCTTTACAAAGACAATAGAGCCACTAACTCAACTGACAATGGTGTTTTGGTGCTCAACGCATTGGAACAAGAGTTTGAGCAGCTTGAACGGTGTTGATTTATGAGAAATCTCTCTCAATCAAGTTTGCTAGTCCCAGCAATGGCACAATTACCAATTTGATCAACGTGGATGCAAAGAGGCTTCGTGAATTTTGCTGGCACATTCATGGGGTCTGCTTGTTGCCACTACAAGTTTGCTTAGCACTAGTCATCCTTGATAGGAATCCGGGTGCTGCTACATTTATTGCTTTTGTAGCTATGGTTCTCGTTACAGCTACGGTTTTAAGAATAATGTTGCTGCTCTTGAATAGGTGTGTTCCTATATGAGCATCAACCGCACTGAAAAGTTCATCAACGAAATAAACATCAAGTCACTATAAATAGTCCTTGCCAATTGAATCTAAAATAAATATGAGATGTTGTTAGTAAAGCAATAATACATGGAGCAGCACCTAGATTCCTATCAAGGATGACCAGTGCTAAACAAGCTTAGAGTGGCAGCAACCATACTCCATGAAAGTGCCAGCAAAATCACCAATCCTCTCAACATCCATGTTGATCAAATTGATAATTGTTCCATTGCTGGGACTAACAAACTTAATTGAGAGAGATTTCTAACAAATCAACATCGTTCAAGCTGCTCAAACTCTTGTTCCAATGTGTTGAGCACCCAAACACCATGGTCAATTGAGTTAGTGGCTCCATTGTCTTTGTAAAGAAGGAGATGAATTCGAATGCAAGAATGAACCCATAATTGTAGATTGAATTATGATGCTTGTCAGATAAGAAATTCACAAAGTTTATGATCTAAAGGGGCCCAATATAGGAGGCAGTTGTATAAAGCCCTACAAGAAACAAACAAAAGCAAACAAAATTAAAAATTTGCAACAGCGATGAATCTGAATACAAAAAAATTTTCTAGACGTATATACATACTTGCAAAAATCGCATTTAGAGGAAGTGATTTCCATACAGCATGGCTTATTGTTTTTGACACCGAAGAGGCTTCCTGTTTCTACTTAATGGATTGTTCAAGCAATGCTAAGGCATTTTCTGCCATTTCAGATTGAGGAAGCGAAGGAATATGTTGTAATTGAAGTTCTTCGGCTTGACCCTCCCTAAAAAGGGGATTTAGCCATAGGAAAGTGAGTTTGCTCCAGACTCCAGCATTTGTGAAAGTAGCATTATCTATAGGAGAATCTTTCATCCCTTTGTTGAAGAAGAGGATGTTCAAGATCACTAGCATTCATGAAACATTTACTGGCTAAAGTGTTTAAAAACAAAGAAGTGTGGACGAAGGCAAGGAAGCAACATCCAAAATGCTTACTTCAGGTAAAGGATAAGGCAATTTTATTGAATTTAGATATGGTGGATAAGATAATGGACACAAAAATTGCATCAAAAATGCAGAAACACACCCATCAAATAACAAACACCAAAGGCCACCTTGTATTCTTTGCATAGATTGCAACTACAGTTGCCATAACCCAAGTGGCAGCAGAGCAGACAGAGCCCAACCCATGATTCCAGTATATATAAGCTCCAAAATCTAGGTAAAGAACAGAGATGGTAACGTTAGAGAGAAGAGTGATGATTGTAAATACTTCAAGTCCCCTAACTACTCTATGCTCCAATTGTATCTCAAAATCACTTTCAAGCCTCCTTTTTTTAAAAATGTCAAGCAAAACCCATGTTAGCAACACCAAGAAAAATGCTCACCTTACAACTTCCAAAGAGAAATCCATCCCACTCAAAACAAAATTTCCCACCCTAATTTTGTCTTTGCACAATCAAATACTGAAGAGAAGGTGAAGAAGAACTCAAACTTTGAACAATGAGGGCCTGCAAACAATTAGGAGCTCCATTAGTATGAAAAATTAGAAACAATGAGAACCCAGTTCAGAGAATTGACTGAAGAAACATAAACAAGACTGAAAACAAAAATACCAGAATCCATGGCGGATAAATTGATTAAAGAAGAAGGTAATGCAGAACTGAGAAGGCGTTAAGACTTAAGAATGTAGCATCTGGCTTTCTAAAGATGGTGACGGGAAAGGGTCAGACGGTATTTTTGAAGCACCAGAGCAGATTAAGGAAGCAAGAAATGCAGAGCTGAGAAGGCATGAAGAACGTAGCACGTTGTTTTGTAAGGGTGGCGGTGAGGAAGGGTCAGAGCTAACTAATGGGTTATTTTGGAAGCATTTAAATAATTGCGAGGAGCATAAAGGGTCAGAGCTAATGGTCATCTTGGAAGCATTTAAATAACTCCAAAGCTCCCTTTAACCTCCAGAGACTGAAAAGTAATCTTTTAAATTAAACATCGTTTTAAAGTATAATATAAAAGAAAAAGAAAAACTTAAAAGGGTTCTGATATTTGAAATGTATAAATATTTAATAATAATTATATTATAAATTTAATAAAATTAAGACTTATATTATGGTTAATTTAATAAAATTAAAATATATACTATTTTTTTATTTTTAATAATTATTATTAAACATCTTAATATTTAAAATATTAAGATATTTTGACTTTTTCTTTTTCTACAATGATGCTATCCTTTTTTTTTTTGGCTGCTCAAGAGTGTTGATACTAATCATAGTATTAGTGATGATACGGCTTTGTTTTTCTTTACATACTTTTTTTTTTTGCATAAAATTTCATTAATTAATTAATGTAAATAATTAATTAATAAAATTTTATATTTATTATTAAAAGTTTTTTAACTATTTCTTGAAAATTATATATTAAGAATATATTAATTGCATATTTATATTGTTAACTTATATTAAAAAAAGAATTAATTCTAATGTTATCAATTGCTTAATTAAAATGTTTCATATGATATTTGTGTCGAAAACAAAGTTTATTTTTGTAATTTTTATTCCATATAAACAAATGAAAAAAAAGAATACAATAAGTGCACCTTTAATCTTAATTATTATTTAAATAAGTTAGAATTATCTTTTTAAAAAATTATAATTATCTATTTAAAATAAAAGTAAAATAAAAATAAGTACCTTAGATCACATTTTTAAAAAGGAAGTAAGCAATTAAATTTAAACACCCAAATTTAAAACTAAAAATTAGGTCTATTTATGCGAGTAAATTAAAAGAAGAAGGTTTTGAAAGGGGTTTGGGTTGAACTATGAGCTAGTAGCTCAATCATTAAAGCAAGAACTCCCCACTGAACTAATAATATTTTTTTTATTATTGATTTCTTAATATCCGATAATCACATTAGATTCTGACTAACTTGAACCGCGTTGGACTCCATAAAAGATAAGCTTTTCTAATATTTATTTCTCCATTCATAAGATTTAAACTTAAAACTTTATTCGAAAAAAATTGAATTATTTTCACTCAGACGAACTAAGTTTTTTTCACTCAGACTAATAGATAGTTAGTCCCACTGAACTAATAATATTATACAATGTCTTAAAATATTTTTTATTTTTTATTTTTTAAATTAAAATTTTAAGAACAAGTAATATTTATACTTATTTATAATAATTTTTTAAAATAAAAAATAATGAGATTTTTTTGTAATTAAATAATTAATTAAAGTGAATAAATAATAATATGATTAAAAATATTTATTTATTTTAAAAAATAAAAAAAATAAGTATTTTAAAATAAATTTAAAATAAAAAAAATAACTATTATTGTGAAATAGGGAGAATAGATACAC